TTTAAGCGTCACACGGTCCGTCCCGCTGTAGACTACATGCATGTGTGCGTGCATGTGGTGGTGGGGCGCAATTTTCAAATAATAATCGAATAATACCAGGCAATCTTTAAATATTATTTTTGCTTGAAATGCCCATCCCTGCCAAACTGCAGAAGTCGTGTTCTTCTTCGAGACCAAGTCACTCGGTGCGCAACTTGCAATCTTTGCCCTCTCTCCCCCACTCTCTCGTCACCACACTGTCACGTCATGAGAACCAGATATAAGCATTTTAGCCATTAAATAAATTGTATTTAAAACATTGCACTTATATAGGAGATAGCACTTCCTATTTAAGTGCATTGTTTTGTTTTTTTCTGACGGTGTGACGATATTGAAAATGATACCGTTGCTATTTTTAGATCCCGCGGTATACGATATTACCGTAATACCGCCCAAGCCTACCACACAGTGGTAAAAATGGCCTTGTCCCAACTTTTTTGAGATGTGTTGATGCCATGAAATTTAAAATCAACTTATGTTTCCCTTAAAATTATGCATTTTCTCAGTTTAAACATTTGATATGTCATCTATGTTGTATTCTAAATATAATATTAAAATTTGAAACTTCCACATCATTGCATTCTGTTTTTATTCACAATTTGTACACTGTCCCAACTTTTATGGAATTCGGTTTGTATATATATATATATATATATATATATATAGACACACACACACACACACAAGTAAACTAATGACTCAAGTACACTTTTAAATCCTCCCGCCTGATAATAGTGTTTATCGCCAATCTCACAGGCTGACGATAGACCGATATGACTATGGAGCATTGCACACAACACTAGTTGCAAGCATACGCCAGAGAGTAAAGGATCACAAGTAATGAAGCTAGAAGACTTGGGGAACCGTATGACCTTTGGCCCACTCTTGGGATGGAGTGCATTTGTTTTCGTCATCATGTGTGTTCATGCACTCAGACAGGACAGAAATTACATTGCAACATTTCAGACACTGCGAAAAGCATTAAGAGAACGACTGTGTCCCACATCCTGAAGAGTGTATACACATGTATACTACACACACACACAAGCATCTATCATCCAGATGCTATATTCACATTGTCTGTAGGCTAATTGGACAAAATTAAGCTAGTAACCATTGTTCTGTATGTATGTTCAGTCGGGTAAAAACAAACCAACGGGTAACACAATGATCCGACAAAACTCAACAAACGTGTTTGTTGGCAATTGTCTGTGCTATGTGAATTGGCCTTTCTACTATGGTTCTGGTTCATTTATTGTTGTAGGCTGTAAGGACCTTTGTAATAAGTCAAATAAAGTGCAACGTGATATGGAACTGTCCTGCGGTCGACAGACCTGAAACTACTTCATAGCTGTACGTTTACTGGAAAATAACTGCACTCCTTAGAATGTTATATCAACCAATCAAAACCAAGCATTCAACACCCTTGTGGTACAATTGCAAAAAAAGCACCATTTCCCATCATCATCCCATGCGCAAATGAAGAAGAGTGCACAGATGAAACAATATAATAAATGCTGCCATGCTATCCTATACATTTGATTAGTCTCATCTCTACATGTTTAAATGCAAGAATTAAATAAAATAAATCTTTGCCATAAATATTAGTCTAATTGTGTCTTTCTCCTTTTCATGCACCTCTGATAAACTGCTAAGTACAGTGACATACTCATTCCCAGCATTCTTCTACAGTAAACAATGTGCTTTTAGGTTTAGCATGCACATTTCCTCAGCACTGTAATATATCAATGGAGAGGAAAGGTCATGAGAAGGGTCCTAAATGACAAAAACGTGTGACCTTGTGACAGCTGGCAGGAAAAGACCCCTGACTCATGTGGGTTTAATTATAGACTGGAGCTCATGTACAGTCAGCCAAGATCTATAGACATCCATTTAGCAGCACACAAGCTTTTGCCTTATTGCCCATCACACACCACAATGTTTTCCAATTTTATCACAAAAATGTAAGCACAATATATTAATGACAGTATCAGTATTGCCATTTACACATCTAAATGAGGCATGTACGTGCATAAAAGAGTAATTAACAAAAAAGCTTGCACAAACATAACTAATATTTCATATTAATTTAAATACCTCAAAATATAAAAATACTGAGTAATGTTTTATTTTTTCCTTCTAATTTCTTACTGATTTTCTCAAACAAGCAGTTAGAAATCAATTTTCTCTAAACATATCACACTTTTAGGACGGATTTACATTGCAGGTCTTGATGCCCAATTCCGATTTGTTGACTATAGCCAATTGTTTTGCAGACCAGCTCACATCATCTTTTAAAAGTGACCCATATCCGATATCTGCATTTACCCTACCCTATACACACGAAACAACCCAAGATAGGCGCACTGACCGAGAATATCTGAAAAGAAAGTAAAAATGGTGCCAGTTACAATGGAATGATAATACAAATTTTGCTTTCCGCACCATCTTTAAAGGTCAGCAAAACATTGGGTTGAGCCTTCATCCACAATAGAAAAGAGTAATTTGATAGAGGTTTGTGTCCACCTGAGTTGACGTCATTCGCCACCGTCACATTTACAATGGCGTATGACCCGCATTAATGGGAATATCCGATCTTTCCACTTACATGGCAGATGCAAATGCACGTATCCGATTCATGTCAGATTTATTTCCACATTTGATACAGGCCTGAAACTGAACTTATAGTAACAGAATCCATGTGTTTTTTTTTTTCCTGCTTTCGCGTTTGTGGGTCATATCCGATCTGTGCCACATGGAAGGAAAACATCGGAATTAGGGCACTTGAACCATGTAAATGCAGCCTTAGAATTACGCTGTTATCTTATTTGTGAAACTAAGTATGTATCTTTATTTCAGAGGTATGTTTATTTTAGTTTGAAATGTGTACTTTTTCTTTTGTGTATATACTGTGCGCAGTGTTGTGCCTGAATGCATTCATTGAACGATAGTTCATGAGCTTTTTCATATTTTAGGCAAACATGAACTGAAAGTATTGCATTACTGCCTGATGAACGTTACTACGAACGCGTTCATTCTGGTGTCTGAGAGCGCACAATCTCTCAGTTTAACTTCATTCAATATAAGGTGCCAGATTTCTAAAGAGCCTTCCAGGCAAAAACCTAAATAAAACACACGTAAACAGGCCTTAAGTACCAAAAAGAACATTCAATTTGGCAACACAAGCCATCAGTGTCGCACCGCAACCGCCGCATGCATCATCAAGACAAGAAGCAGCATGAACATATGGAAAAAAAGAACTATGAACTAGTTAATTTTTTGGAACCGTGAACTTAGTTCAAAATTGTGACATATGAAATATGAACTGAACTAATTCATTTGTGAACGGAACTTTGAACTAGTTCATGTAGAAAGTGAACCTTCCCAACACTGACTGTGCATATAGTATTGTTGTCACGATAATTTCTGGAATTTCTAAATTCAAAACAATACCTTGAAAAATATCAATATTATTTCCCATATTTATTAATAGTGAAAAATTGCCACAACATTAGAAGGCACAAAATTCAAACAGTAAATTATCTTTTGATTTTAGTCAAAGTATTTTCTCACCACCTGAATCTCTGTCTGTGATTAAAATCTCATAAACTGATTTCTAGAGTGCTAAGCGATCACTATTTTTCCAAATTTTTAACAAAAACTCCAGCCTTTAGTGCAACGTTGAGTGCATTCTGACCTATACGCCTCTGACGGGCCATTGCATTGAAAACGTTTCAAGAACACGTTGTAAATAGAAACCATTGCTTCGCAGAGCACTCACTCATACACCTCTGACACGGTCATACTAGTGAAATGACAAAAGGGTGTAAAATTGGCTTTAGAAATCCAAGTTAAACTTTCAACAAATTAACAAAATTCCCTGATATTATAATGTCAGCAAAATTATCAAACTATTTATTTACTAATATTTGATTTATAATCGAGCCCTATTGGTAATCTAACAACAACACTCCAAAATGAAGCAGTGTGCACACAAAAAAGGCATACTAAAGGCATGTTTTATATTTCAATATAAAACAACATTTCTCTCACCTAATTCACCATCTTGGATTTATTTTCTCATTAGCTACATTTACAAGCACCCCAAAAAAATCCACTGGTCAGCTAAAGCCTTCATGTAAACACCTCAATGAGTCAGATTGAAAACAACACTTATACTCGCGGAGTATAAAGTTTAGGGTTCATATGTACACAGAACTTTTAGAATCTGAAATTGGATTGGATTCATTCAGATTGACAAAAATGAGTGCATCAAATACATACTAAGCTCGTCGTAAAGCAATCTGGCATCGTCTCCTTCACGAAGGACACTTGATACTAGCTGATTAACTTGACACTTGATTTAAGACCAGCCTTTGAGCTAGAAGCACACCTATGATGCCTTAAGATGCTGCCTTCATAGACAGCCCACAAGGTTTTGGAACAGAGCATGTGTGTAGTGTACACCGTAGGTTTACTAAGAATAAGTATACGGTATCAGCTTTGCCAATATTGCAACACTACATGGCTTCAATTTTAGTCTCAATGTTCATGAAAACTGTAAGAACAAGTTTAGCTCTACAGGGTGTCGTCTCACTTGTCAGACTGAAGAGATTACACCATCATTAACAAGCTTATTTGTTGTGTGGCTACTACAATGTGGTGGGCGTTCTGGGGCAGTGTGGCTACAGTCGCATTATCCAGGTGGATGCTGCACATTGGTGGTGGTTAAGGAGATTGCTCCTTCCATGTAAAGCGCTATATAAATGTAATGAATTATTATTATTTATGGTTACTATAGAAAGATTCACTATGTTATGCAAGAGGCCAATTTCCATTCCCAATCCCATTGCATGGGTCTTATCTGACTGAACATGTTAGACACACCCAATGACTCAAACAAAAGAGATCCAAAATCACTTAAGAATGGCTTTATGACAATAAGAAGGAAAAGTTTTTACTTTAACACTTTTTCTTTCATCCGATCCTTCGGTGAGCAGGAAAGCCTCATTGCCATCGGTGCCTTCCACCCGTAAGAAGCAGTTGGTGGTGTGTCCGATTCCAGATGGCAGCACTTTGTCCCAGAGCATGGCGTTAATGACGGAGCTCTTCCCGTTACTGGTTCTGTAAATGCAAAGGGTGTGATTTAACCCAAAGTAATTCATGAACATTGCTGAAAGCATTCTTGAACGCGTTCTGCTCTAGCTTGCATTCAGTCCGTGTGAAGTCATTTTAGTCATCAGCACTAACTAACATTACAAACTAACTAACTAACTAACTAACATTTGAGAGCAGTAGCACTGGGGAGTGGGGGGATTTTTAATCAGAACGGTAATTTATTCATAAAATTACCATTGTTTGGAATTAATAAGTGCAGTAACTGATAATAATGCACATTTGACAGTCAAGCACTGTGCTTGAGTTGAGATGCAGATCAAATAAATTTGTATTAACAACAGTTACATGTAAAACCCTAACTTTTAAAGGTAACAATTAACATATTTTTACTTTTGATCATCACATCAAAAATAACATTTAAATTAGATAATATTTAGAGCTTTGAAGTACTTTTGCATGTCCTTGAAAAGTGCTTAAATCTCACACTTGCACGAACCCTCAAAAGAATAATGTAAAACATAAGACTATTTCTCCCAAAATACCATGGTTACAGTTAGCATTAGAGCCCCTGTATATAATACACCGTGAATGTTGATGATTTGTGGAATGAAAAATAACTTCATGGCTAGGGTTGGGTATCGTTTGAATTTGAACGATTCTGATTCCGATTCCTTGTTTCGATTCCGCTTCCTAACGATTCTCGATTCCGATTCTTTTAAGAGGCAGGGTCAAAAAAGTTTAGCTAACCTTGCTAACAAACAGCCTTTCTGAAGGAAATAATCCTTTCTGAAGGAAATACTCCTGTAAAAATACTCCTTTTGTCACAAATTTTGCATTTTGCCGAGATTTCATTATTTTTAGAAAAGTGAAGCAACACTATGGATCGCCGACGTAAGGTACTCATGTTCGACTCGCGTGGTTATGCCAACACTTCCGGTAGACGCTTCTTCGTTGGTGTTGTTCAGCGGTTTCTTTTTCCGCTCGGCGGACTGTGAATATCGAAACTAGGAATCGAAATTTTAACTTTTGAACGATTCCGGGAAAAACGAAAAGTTAGTCTCGGTTCCAATCGATACTCGATTCTCGATACCCAACCCTATTCATGGCACAATGTTTCTCCTGGTTTCCATGTCAGCGCTGCTAGATCTGATATTTATGGTTTTTAAAAGAATTCTGTGCTAAACTTGAATGCTTCTCACAAGATCTAGATGTTATTAATACTGCGCCAAATTCAAACACTTTCTCAATTGATCGCCCACCGCTGTGTAGTAACGTGTCTTGTGATCAAGAATGGATCAAGTAAATCTGTTCTGAGCCACAGACAGTAATGTTCTGAGCTCGTACTGTGCTGTCAAATGTTGGTCTGAGCTTATAAACTGTCCACGCTACGCAACTCAAAAGAGAAGAGCGGTTTCATTTTGTTTGCCGTTTGATGTTTTTCATATGCAACAGATGGCAGCTCTTATTAGTAAGACAACGTGGTGGTGACACCAATGCAACATCTAACTAAATGTAGTTGCACCGGCAAGACATAAGGCCGCAAAATGCTACCATTTGGTTGCAGTCTGGAGCCCTAAAGTCCTTTGATGTCTGCATGCACCCTGATATTTTTGACCGCATGTACTTGTGCAACACCGCATGTGTGAGTACAACTGCATCTGTATGGGGGGGAAAAAATCCCATCTGTGATTTATTTTATTATTGTTATTTTCAAAGCTTTCATTGTACTTTTACTATAAATAAACTTCATTAACATTTATTTAGCTCTAACAATAACAAATACAGTTTTTGCTCAGTACTAACTGAAACGAAAAACAATTCATTTATAATTCCTGCTCACGAGAGACTGTTGCTTCCATATGTAGAAAAAAAAGATATGTATATCAGCATCGGCTATTGGCCAAAATGAGCATATTGGCAAAAATCCAATATCATGCATCCTATTACACGATCAACTGTGCGGTGGATTAAGCGGAACATGGACAATTAAGTATACCTGATATTTTTGTGCACAGCATTTCACAGAATTCGTGGGGAATAATAGAATTCGTGGATAAGTGGCGAATGTGGGTGGTCAACAAAAGTACACTAGAAGTGTAAACTATGTCCCCAGAAGTTATCACCAATAAAAAATGTCTTTGTACTAGTTTACACTAGAGTTGCATGTATCTCTTAACTCCCTCATCAGTGTGGACAGCTTGTTTTTAGTTGTTTCTTTTTCGACTATGAAACCATTGACCGGGGCAGTTAGGGGTGCACGATTCAGAAAATGTCACGATTCGATTCGATACCGATTTTTTGTCTCGAGATTCGATTCAAAATCGATTTTCGATTCAAAAACGATTCTCGATTCAAAAAACGATTCGCAGGTCTACATAAATGTAGTTTACTTTTTCCTATGTGATTGATTGCAGTAGACATAATTTAAAAGAAAAGTTTGATATTACTTTATATGTCTTCATACAAAAATAAAAAACTTTTGCAACTAAAATGTGCGAAGTGCCAAGCTTTGGCCAGCTTTTAAATACATTTAATTCAAGTTTAAAATAAAACTTAAATAAAAAGCTTTTACATTTAGCTTTAAAGTGCTGTAGTCAGATCAAACAAACAATTATGCTAAATGTGGTTTAAGGAGTAGGCCTACTTCAGCTACCAGGTTGACTGTTGAAATGAACTCGACTGGGCACATTGAACTCCCTAAAAATATATAGGCTACTAATTTCATAGAACCCTTGCGAAAATATTTTAAATAGATTTAAAAAAGCCACCGCTACTGGTAACATCTATGGTTAGATTGATTTGTTTAGATCCAGTGAAGTCGTTCATAGGCGCTGTAATTTGCGGGTATCTCCAGTTAACTAGCAGAGCATTCATTTAGTTCGCTATTAAATAAGAGACCTTTTGTTTTTGAAATCAAGCTGAGCGCTCGTGTCCGCTGCGATCAGTGTCATGGATACAGTGTTCTCTATGGCTCGCGCAGTCTTCTCTCGGACGCGCGCTTCAATCTACCGCCGTTGTAGAGACTCCCGTGAAATCACAAAATAAAATGCACACAAACGTGATGAACATATTCGGTTTTGATGAGAGAGAGAAAAAACTATACGAGTGCAGTTTAGAACCCCTAACCTCTGACACGCTTGGCAAAAGATCTACAGAACTCAAACATAAGATCTGCGGATCGATGCATTTATTTACGGGTTGAGCAGAGTGGCTGCACAGTTTGACCAGCGGGCGGCAAGAACTTGCAATAACTATTTATCAGACCGGCCCTCGCAGCCTCGAAACCATAGAAACACTACCGGACCACCGGTAAAAGTCCCGATTGCCACTCCGCCCCTGCACGCCATTAAAAAATATAGCCTATGAATCGATTTTTGGAATTCTATGAATCGATTCTGAATCGGTAAAGATTGAATCGCGATTCAAATGTGAATCGATTTTTTTGCACACCCCTAGGGGCAGTGTTGCCACCTTCTCCACAAACGAATTAGCGCAAAAAATGTCAAGGCATTTATATGCAAGCTGAGCATACAGAGTATGCACTGTAAGAAAATATGGCTGCGCAAAATCTACTAACAAATGGCTGCGCCCTGTAAGCACACCCTAGCGTTCACATAAAAATGAAAATATACTTTGGGCTTTAGTGCAACTCTGAACACGACACAAACGTTGCGTTCATGCAGTGAGGGGCAATTCATATACACTGTACCTGCCAAAGAAGACCACCTTCATGTGTCTCCGGGACAAGACTTCCCCAATCCCTGCCACTTTGGACAGGTATCCCCGCACCTCCGCCACCTGCTCCTCTGTGGTAACAGGATCCAGTTCTTCATTGCTGTAAGTTTCTGACATAGAAAAGAGACCAGTTCAACAACACTTGATATTTTAAATACTTTACCAACATTAAGAACTCAAGAGTCATGTTTGTCAGTTTTAGCTATGAATTCGTATCCCACACAAGAAGAGTCCACCCTAAAGTCTCTGTGACATTCTGGAATAGGAATATTCTTCAGAATAAATTCCTCTAAAGTGCTATTTTCTACTTGATATCTACCCTAACAATAAATTCCTTTAGAACTTTAAGATGAAAAACGTTAATATATATTGTTGAAGCCATTTCAATGGAACTAATAATAATATTTTGAGTTTATTTAGTAAAATCTGAGAATACCTGTGTTGCAAACATAGAAATTTGAATGTAAGCAGGTGCCCAGTGATCTAGTATAATGTAATTTGATTGGTTGTTAGATTTAGTATGAAAGAAATAGTATACTGCGAAGCAGTCAGAAGCCACTGGACTTTGGAGCAACACAGTCTTTTGACCTACACGAAATAGTTAAATTGTAAGAAAAGTAAAGATTCTAAGTTTTTATTTTATTTTATGTTTTTGAAATTCATAATTAAATAGTCAAACGAAGAACTTTGGATTCAAGACTTTTATTCGCGAACGTTTTGTGTTGAGTACAAAAGAACTTTGAAGTCCTAAGCTAGTGAGTCAGGTTTCTGCACTCACATATATTCTTAAGACAAAACTTTCATTACTTTTCCTGAAAAGAATGTCCTTAAAATCTTCGCAAAAAACTTCTTAAGGTTAGGATAGCCTCCAACTTAAATCCCCAAAGGTAATTTATTGGGTTCTTTCAATATTAAGCATTACAGCATAGCATTATTTACATTATGTACATCCTAAGCATTAGTAATTGTATGCATTATATTATATACAGCATGTGGACAAGTATTCTGAAGTGACACCATTGATAGATAATGTTTTTGCTAGCTAAATTTGAAATTCAGAAAGAACTCTACAAAAATAGGGGCCTCGTTTTTAATTTTACAATTACGACATTATTGCTCAAAAAATCAGGTAATGCCAAAACCTGTTATTTTCTTGAGGAAAAAAAAACTCCTTTGTTTTTACAGAATTGCAGTTTCTTACGAATTGAACTATAGGGCTAAGCGAATATGGGTAGAACTCTTTACTGTCCTAGTACTTCAGAAATCCCTTTTAAAAGTATACATGTGAATTATACGTGGCACAATAGTCTTCATCACAGTATGCTAATGCTTATCTAATGCAAGGGATTCATCAATGCGGATTGAGGACTGGCACTGGATGGTCTCTGGGAAGACAAGAATCGATTGCACCTCAATGACACATCTGTACCATTTGCTTCACAACACACATGCTTTCCGCAACAGAATATTTACCTACTAGTGTGTTCTAACATGTAACTATGCCATGTTATGTTTGATCTCATCTGACAGCTTATAATCTGAACTGAAAGGTGGTGAACTTAATAGAGATATTTAAGTATCCTAAAGTACAATAAGATACTATTGCTTAAACACTGTGTGGTGTTCTGAGAATATCAGCTCAAATGGATATTTCATCCGAATCAGATATTGAACACAGAGGAGGTTTGAGATGATATTCACTAATGATCAAGTGCGTGAGATCGACAATCGACTACTGTGGGCTTCGACCGAAAACAGGAAGCAAATAGAGGTATGTGAGCTGGCTGAATTAGCATCATTTTTATTCATATCTTTCACATCTACTGCAGTCAGATTGACCGTGGTCACTCTTAATAACACCACTCACATGGCTGTGCACTAGTAATGACAAATCAAGGATGTTAAGAGGCTTAGGTTTAGGACATGCCCCATTGAAGTCAACAGGGTGCGAATTTTAAAAAGACGATAACGGTGTAAGGCAACACTGATTTTTGTCGTTTTTGTCTGTACTGACTGCACTCCAAATGTACAAAAAAAATGAGCTCAATGTTAAAATTGACCGGAGTTCTCCTTTAATGTACTTCTCCCCCTCTTGATCACCACCCAATTGCCATATCTTTTGGTTTCCTGTCGGTCGGTTTTGGTGTTTGGTGCTTTTTATGAACTCTTCTGCACAGCAGTGCATTTTTGTTACAACCAAGTTTTCAACACAGTATGTTGTTCCAATCTACTGTCTGTATATTTAAACATGTAACTTAATAAATAACGTTGCATGCTTTAAAGGCTTTAAGAATCTTTCCTTTTATCATTGATGATCTTGAAAGCTAAAGTGATTATGTAACTTTCGTTATGTAAACATTCAGGTTAAATCTTACGTTATCTTATCAAAAAGACCTTTACTTTTAAAGAATAAGGGGTTAAAGAATAACTATAATGGAATAACTTTAATGGAATCAGATAAATTACATAGGAGCCAGATAAATAACTGAACTATGCTTTTTGTTCAGATTACTGGTTCAAAATAGCAGCGTAAGCTTCTAGCCTTGCAGAACATTCTTATGAATTTCTTAGAATTTATCTTGAGAAATTTCTTAACTTCTTTCTTAAGAAGATTATTGTCAATCAAGCGCCTCGTCTCAAGATATGGCTCGGGTCCCTCCTTCAATGTAAACCAGTTTAAAAAAAATTAAATGTCAGATCACTAAGAAAAACAATAGCAAACTTCTCCTCAACAAGCAGCACACAAATAATGAAGTTAACATCTCAAGGAAACGAATAGATCTGGTTTTCAGCCCCACCGACAAAACATTATTTTCTCTGTGAATGCTAATTTACATTAATATTTCAGCATGAGAGAAGCTCAAAGCTTTGTTTACAAAATAAATAATAGGTAAGCAATTAAATGTTACATCGCAACCATGGAAACCTTTGGTTTTATGAGGAATGAGAGAGGTACATGATCCCATAGATTTAAGCCATTTGTCAGCTGATCTGGTTGCACAATATTCTGCAAATTTAACAATATCCCATTTTGCAGGGCATTACAAACGTTTCTTCCTTTCACTTGCTTTTAATTATTGTATATTCTCATTTTTATATAGGTGAAGTAGAAAAACTCTGTAGGACAGATACCTTTTTACTTGCATGTCCAAATCTATTTAACAATTTATGCTATATCTACTTGACAACTTTGGCAAAAATATGACTGACCTCAAATAAACCTAATATAAAATCCTCCAAAATCCTTCCAGTAAAACGCTTGGCAGACTACTGAAACAACTGCCAGGGTAGATTCGTAAGAAGTTACTTTAGGGTCATTATTTGTAAGAAGATAACTTGAGGTGTTCATAGAAGAAAGTCTTACAGACATGACACGTTAACTAGGCCATGCCTTTCTCTGAGCCTTCAGCTGTCTCCCAGCTTGTTACGTAACCTGTCTTTTTTTTATCTAAGTCAGACTGAAACCTGTTTCTCTTATCAGCTTGACAGATGTACAGCATGCAACAGTGTGCTTTTGAGTTCCTGAAACAAGGAGTGGAATGAATTGCCAAGGGAAATGAAAGCAGACACCTTCCAGAAAGGCTGAGCTTTCTTTGATGTAAGCCCCCAGCTGTTCAAAGATGCCGTTGATCTTCTTTTTGGCGGTGACAAAGTGTTTGAGCGGGGAAGCGTTCACCTCAGCCATCAGTCGCTTGTCCTTCTTGCCGATCACACTGGTATTGGGTCGTGGGAAAACCAAAGACATCTCACTAAAAAAGACAAATGAAAAAAGATGAAAAACCTGCCACACTGATGAGGTGTTATGGGTCTTTGCTTAAAACTTTCTCTAAATACCTTCTGGTGGCATTAAGACATCTTTAATAATGAAAACATTAAACATATGTTATAATGCTGCTCATATAGACGAATCCGGCGAAACTACCGGAAGTAAGCGGGGCGCCATTACTGAGCTGTTGCTGGGTAGCGTTGCGCCATTGCCTCCTATTGTTTTAGTTGCAACTTGCGTCCACTGGAATAAACAGCCCGCGATTTACGACTGTCACTAAAGTTACAACGTTAGCCCTTGTATAATGTCGAGTGGGTAAACAGTTTCCGTTATAAATTGTTTCAATGGTGGCAGTAAAATTTCAATTTTGAAGAGAAAACACTGTGAATACCCCGGGTCGACTGCCCCTGTCTGGTGCCGTACGGTTTACAGATTTCCTGGGCGAGTACAAGACGTGGACATTCGTGTATAAGAACAATTATTTAATGACATAAGTAAAAAATATATAATAAATATGTGATATAGTGATCAGCAAAATCTCCTCTCTTGCTATTTTTTCTATTAAATTAACATGTTATGGTCATTAAATGGCTTTCCTGAGCTAAATGTAACGTTATGTGACATAATTGTTTTCCTGCTGTTATATTGACCTCTTTCCATGGTTTAAAAACACTAATTGGTCGATATTATGTATACTTTCTAGCTGTAACGTTACCTTACCCTTGCCTGTTGCAATGTGAAAATGAGATAAATAATGGACACAAATGAAAAACATGAATTTGTTTATTTGATTTCATTCATTTATTTATTTATTGTTGCCAAATGGACAGATCTTTTTATAGTTTCCTCGTTAGCAAACGTTAGCCTAGCTAGCTTGCCAAGCTATTTTCATAAATAACGTTAATCTGTAAGATCATTTGTACCTTCATCTGTGACTGGAGGCCACTGCAGTCACAGATCAAACCAACAAGTCATTCTGCCTGGCTGTAGCTGTCATCGAGGGTGAGTTCGCGTTATCACAGAGGTTTGTTTACATACCGGTGCATATGTCTATATGCCTGTGTAACAGCTCAGTAATGGCGTCGCCACAAGATGGCAGCCTACACAGAACGCTCGTCGGATTCGTCTATTCCTTATTAAGGGATGAAGGATTTAATGTTCGCACATTCTGACCATTTAATCTTGTAAAGAGGTGAAACAAAGGGATTATACACCCACAAGACACATTTTGCAAATGAACACACAAAATACGCAATACAAAAACTTGGATACACTCTGTCACATAAAACACCACACTCCCTAAGAACTACTCAGAGAAAAAAACATTCAGCTATGTTTTTGTCTAACCGCATTGCTCAGAGCTATTGTTTAAGCCCTATGTGTTGATGGGAAATGCTGTGTCGCCCAATTTAGAGCAGAGTGTCAACAACACATTATGCACAAGCTGTTCTAAATGCGCTTACAACAGTTTCTAGATGAGTTTGTTTGTACTTTGTGTACTTTATCAGTGATATGTTAAAAACATCCTATTGATAATCACCTTAAAAAATAGCCCCACCTTGCAGAGGGACAAAACTGACATTTCCCGTAAACCTGTTCCATGGTTACAATTTATCTTTATTTATTTATTTTTTGATTACAGCAAAAGAATAACACTCCCAACACATTATAATGAAGCGACCAACATTGGAAACTGTGAACGTGTGCTTGAATGAGATATTCAGAGCGCCATAATTTCTTAATCTGTTTGCTTCAAAACTATTTGCTTCCATTTTTTCATCTAAAGAAATAAATAAATTGCATAGAAATTAATAGCACTGTTAAATATGGAATGAAAAAAGAACATCAAATCAAGATGTGCAATCAAAAAGCAATATTTGACACAATTAAGAAAATAAGGATAAATTATGTTTACAGGGAACGCATCTACAAAGCATAGTCGCACACACTGACACATGTTGCAGTTACGGCAGTCAGCTCTGAACAACAGGCAAATAAAATATAGATTAGGCTAATTAAAATTACAAGTAATTCAAGATCAATAAGTTTTTTTTTTGTTCTTAAATTAACATTTATGACAGGTGGCAATAGGAATAGTAGGCTGCTATTAAAGGTTCTATATGTAACTTTTTTTTATAAAATGAAACCTTTTTTTATTGCCTGTGTTTGAAGGGGTTGTAATCACACTAGGGTTGTGCCGATAGACGATAGTATCGTGTATCGACGATAGTCTGACATATCGCCGATGGCAGATGCCTTTGACGATATCAATACGATAATTGGCTCGTTTTACCATAATGTATTAAATTATTATTATTAGGCCTATTATTATTATTATAAAGCTAGTATTGTTATTAAATAAATATTAGGAACTACAATTAATTTGCCTTGCATAAATTTACAACGACATCACCTCATAACAATTGCAACAACACACGCACTAATGAGGACTCCTCTAAGAGAATGTTTTTAAAACAGACTAAAAAACATCCCACATCAAAATTTAATCGCAAGGTGATCCATTCACAAATTATCAAGTGTGCTCGTTTTAACAGACGCAAAATTCAATTTCCTACAGATCCAAGATGAAAACGGCATCGTTGTTCGTCAGTATTTGTTTCTGTAACACATTAACACTAATGACACTAACACTAAAAACAATACAATTACTAAATAGTATTAATAATAATATCACTAAAATAGTATTATAGTTACCGTTATCATCGTCGTCTGTGAGGGAACGCGGCGTTAATGCAGATGCCGAAAGCAGTCCGTTTTTACTTTCACTTTCAGAGATAGAGCGCGTTTACATGCGACGACGTTCTTAACCTGATTATGTTGAATAAACTTGACAATGCATGTGGTCATGTAAACGTTTCCTTTATCAGAGTCAAGTCATAAGTATAAGTATAAACCGATCGACTCAGCTAGACGTTTGGCCCTTGCTCTTGTTTCTATCGGCATTTAAAACACATTAACCCGCGTACTTCGTGCTGAAGTGCGCATGTGAAGTGCGCAGAGAGCGCACTGGTAAGGGGGCACATATCGCAAACTCCGACTCTTTCTGACCCAAGAAATTATTAAAACGTGTTTTCATCTCGTGCAGAAATAGACCAACATGCTGCATGTAATGGCATGAGAATAGGCTAATGTGTCCGTAAATTTCCCGTTGACAAACAAAAGGATTAGGATCTCTTTTTTTTACTTCACTATACCAGGAAATAACCTGATCCTATTAATAAACACTCCACCTTTGCTAGCAAAATAGAAAAAAGATTCTCGTATATAAAAGGAAGTAGGCTAATAAAACAAGCAAATTAATGAGTAGGCTAAATAATCAAGTTAATAATCAAATAAGTTAGCCCCGCCCCCTCACGATAATATCGTGTATCGCCGATCTCACAGGCTGACGATAGGACGATATGAAAATGGAGCATATCGCCCAACACTAAATCACACATTGCAATGATCCACTTTTCGGGTTTTGCTATTACCTCTGAAGGCCAATATTCATATTTATAAGTGAGGTCTCCAGGTCGGATTTCCTGCGAAATCCATCAGATGTGACGTGCACGCGCGCTCCCGAGCCTCTCTATCCAGTCAACCATGTCTCTATCCAGTCTCTATACAATCAACCATGCGACCAACGGCACTTCAGCTGACGACATGGAGTCTGATAACAGCCCAAAACGTCCTGCCTCCAGCACAACACAGACTCCAACACAAACTCCACATAGATATAAAAAACAAAAAAGTTTTATCTGCCCAAGCTCGTAAGGCAAAACGTGAATCTGATCGACTCCGGACGAAAACGCGGATCAACATAGTAAACTCTAGTGAAATAGCAAGGTAAACTACATGAAACATGACATGAATACAAAAGAATGTTCCAGGATAACAAAAAGTCGGTGCTTTAGGATGTAACTTATTTTATTTACTAGATCTACTGACTAACGTCACTCATCCCACTAGTGTTGTCACGGTACCAAAATTTCAGTATTCGGTACCAATACCAGTTAAAATTCACGGTTCTCGGTACCAAAGCTTAGTTTAAATTTACATATATTTATGTGTTTATCACGGTTACAAGTATGGAAACTGTACATTTGTATTATAAACACTTTAGAAAAAGATTAGATAAAATGACCTAAAATAAACAATACACTAACACATTTTTAAAGTTGTTTGTAAAGTTTTAATCCATTATTTATTTAATGCACAATGAATTAAGTGAACAAACATGAACAATCAGGTGTTTGTAATAAATAACATTTTCAAACATTAATTAATGTTGTAAAAATATATTGTTCACTCAATGTGTTGATAACTAAGTAATGTTGATGAACGGTATCTTTGTAGCATTACCATAAAACATGTTTTATTTGACTTGACTGTCCTTTTATTTTATCTAAAACTGCATTCATATTTAATTTTAAAAAGGCTTTTTAAACCTGCTGAGTTATAAAGGCAAGAATACGCCTAGAACTGGCACTGACATTAAATGACAATACTAATACCAGTAGTACTCTGGTGTCGGGTGGATACTACTGTGCTCATGTACTCGTAAAACTACCCCGAAAGCACTTTAGAGGCCGTTCACATGTCGCGCGTGTTTTTTAATTATATTTTTGCGCGTGCTTATTCTTTCCAAAGCGCTTGCTCTCACACGGCGAGTTTTTATTATGAGCGCGCTTGAATCGCGCCTATATTTGAAATTGCGAATTTGCGAATGTAATCGGCCTCTTATGGCAACGTGACATTAGCCTGATCCAAAATATTTCCATATGTGGCTCTTTCCTCCTTTCGTTTCAACAAGTGGATTCAGAGAGAGAGAGCCATATCAGCGTTATAAAGAGGACGCAACTGTGCACGTTTCAGACATCGCGTCTAGAACAGAACTGGATTAACCTGGTACTCGGTACCTAGAAAACTGGTACCGTAACATTTTTTTAGGGCTGCAACTAACGATTATTTTGATAATCGATTAATCGGACGATTATTTTTTCGATTAATCGATTAATCGGATAAAAAATTATATTTCATTTTTTGTTTATTATAACAAAATAAAACCCTAGATAACTTCATTATAAAGAAAAACAAGAAATAAAAAAAAATATATGACCATAACCTATGACAAAAATGCTATTGTAAACTAGATTAGTGGATAACTCAGCAAAACTTAGCCTAGAAATATCACAAGTGCACAATAATTTTATAAAAATCTAAACATTTAGTGAAAAAAACATTCCTTAGTGGGGAACAAATAAGAGACAATAAGTGTAGCACTAACTCTGGTAAAACGTACACATTGCTCTTTGTATTGTTGTTATACATTCATGAAAAACATCGTAAAAATCAGATGCACAGCTGTTTTAAATGTAAAGCACAGCTGTTTAGTGAGGAAGCAAAATATAATAGATAGGACAGAACAAGAAAGGCTATTAATAAGCTTTCATTGCGCAAAAGTATTATGACATGATCATGAAAGAGCTGCACAGAGTGCAAATGCGCATCGCGAGCGCTGAATGATGCGCTTGAAGCAACACGGAGTCACAGGGCGGCGCGCAGCTCTTCAGTGTCCGCCGCATTAAAGTTAAAAGCACCAAGGAAAGAGAAAGACATATTGACGGTGTATTATACAGTATCTATGCAATAGTTTATTAAGCCTTTTCTTTTAACAGTTTTAAATTTCAGTTAGGCTACTGTGCACGTGAAGAACAATTATACTGCGCCGACTCTACTATAGTGTTGTGATCTAACAGACACTCAGTAGAAAGTGATTAAGTTACAGCAATAAAAGTCTAGCAAGATAGAAAAACCATCATAGACCTTTATCTACGGATCAATTATAATAATAACATTGAATCATCTTGGAAAGAGATCATCATGTTAACTGTTGTAACGTGACGCGCTGTTTGAACACCGAATAGAGAATGACTGACAGCCGCAGTGGAGGGAAAAGCTTAGGTTAACTTGAATTTAATGACTTAAATATACATTTCTATCTCACATTATACTATAGTATGGCTTCATAAAGTATACACGATTAACGTAGGTCACCTATTTTGGTTTCAAAACGGCAAATTTACCGAAAGGTGAATGATTTTCGTGTGCTGCATATTGATAGCGGTTTCCTGATGACCGCAAATTAGTTCAAACTCACTGAATCAAGAGTGCGCATGCGAGACAGAAGATAATGTGCTCCAAACTGTCCGTGTTGCGCGCGCGAGACAGGGTAGAGCGGCGAGGGAGAGAGACTGCATGTGCGCCTCATGAAGCGCATGTAAGAAGCGCATGTTCCATGTAAACAATCCCCGTGACGTAATCAGACCAACTAATCGATAATGACATTTGTTGACAACGATTTTCATAATCGATTATAATCGATTTTATCGATTAGTTGTTGCAGCCCTACATTTTTTTTTTTTTTTAGTACCGACTTGGTACCGAAGTACCGAGTTTTTTGACAACACTACATCCCACTACTATCATATTGTTTATAATACACATTTCCAGACACGTTCAGTACAGTAATGTTACTTACGATCTTACTGATACACTGAAACTGTTCAGTTTAGTTCACTAACCGTTTTCGTTATCATATTATACATTCACCTGTGTTGACATTGCTGATTGTGAAAGATACACGAAAATAGTTAGTGAAATGGATTATAACATCACGTGTCAGCTAAATGCAGTTTATTGTAACATTATCATGGTACGAGCACAGAGCATTAGTTCAACGTCAAGTTGATAAAAGTAGGCTATTATTGTACCTGCAATGGGAGTTTACATTCGTTTCCAGCATGTTGTGTGATTATTTCGCCGTTGCGTTGAAAGTCTCCGTGTGGCCGGTAGTGACTGCTCGCTCTTGAGATCTAGCACGCACATGAGCACGAGCGCTCTTGTTGCATTCTGAAACATCACCGCTAGAGGCTGCTAAAAATCGAATACAGCACCTTTAATGCTCGGAACCCAATATAGGCAACTGTTACACGCAACTGTTTCTTTCTCAACAAAACCAACTGTGTTCACGGGGTTTCTCTGTACTTGCTGCACAGAAAACAGTGCTGAAGTACAGAATTGAGAATTGAAGTACTCTTCTTGAGCTTAAAGAATGGTTTAAAATCACATTAAAATGCACACACAGGAATCAATCATCAAAATTCAAATTTTTATTTTATTACAAGTATTCCTGACTTTAAGTACTCAATTCCAGAATTGGATTTGATTTTCTATTCTCAACCCTAGCAACTATATAAAAAATATTTCATTCATGCTATTGCACATGAATAAAGATTTGTATATAACTACTGGTGCTATTGCCAATTGCGTCTGGTAACTGACTGTTATAATCGACAATGTGATCCTTGCGAGACATCGTTGATATCCAATAATATTGTCATATCGCACAGACCGCCCCAATATATCAGTCTACCACAAATGTTATTCTCTCTTTATTCATGGATGCAGAAGGAGAGTTTTCTTGTATTCCATTGAGACCACATTACTTCCTCAAAACAATCCACATTTGGCCATCAGTTTCTGAGCATAGCCTCAGCTGTAAACTATTAACATTCAGTGCTGATAATGCCAGAGTTCTTTTGAACAACTGAGCGGTGTCGTATTAAAGAGTCTGGAACTGCAGTTGGCAAATACGTGCAACATGGAGCGTTCGTGTGCCCTGGAAAGTCACCTTCAATGAACAGAGGAAGGCAAATGTAACATCAGTAAAGCGTCCAGCTGTCTGCACTTACAATAAGGTAACCAGACATCAGAAGCTGACTTTACCTGATCTATCTCTAGCAAACCTCCACCGCATGCCAGTAATCTGGACACTGTCTGCTGTGTGTAGAAAACAGCATTCTATTTGTGCAGTCCAGATTGGTTATGTTACAGACACACAAGTTACATAAAAGGTTGGTTATGTTGATTATGAATATTAAAAACAAAATCACCATATTCTAAAAAGACGGTTTACCTATGCAGTGTGAAAGACTTTTTTTTCATAGTGAAATATTCCATGTTTCTCTCAAGTAATATGGGATCTGCAATGCATCATATAATAAATACACTGGAATTAGAAAAAAAAATGATTAAAAAAAGGTATGGCATGTCATTTTAAAAGACAAAGTTTGTAATATCATGCCAACTTCCCAAATGAAAGGATTTGCTTGAATTACAACTAAGGTATGGCATGTCATTCTAAAAGACAAAGTTTGTAATATCATGTCAACTTCCCAAATGAAAGGATTTGCTTGAATTACAACTAGGCCAGCACACCTTCAATAAGGGCTGTTCCTTATAAATAACTGAACTATGGCAACAACAGTATCTGCCAAAACTCTATAACTAATACAGATAGTGTGCATTTCACACAATATGGCCTTTATCAAGATCTTGATAAGCAGAGGAGACGCTCCCATACACACTCCCTTTATATTTTGCAATCATTCTTACAAGTGCACACCCACGTTGAAATTCTCAAACGTTCAAACAATATCCATTCATTTAAACAATGTCCAAGTTACTAACATAATTTGGATACTGCTGGTAATGATGAACTGATTGAGAGATTTGTTCTGCTGAACGTTGTAAACATGTTAAAGAAAACACACACATTTCACCAGGTCACAAGTGCTAAAACAAGAATAAAAACATAAGTTTCTACTGATATAACAACATAGTCTTACCTGACAGTGCGTGTAAGACGAGTTTATATAAAACAGTGACGATCAAATAAGCTGTATCAGCTCCCCAGCATTTGCTCTTCCAGTGACCGATCACCTACGCTGTTCGCTTTAAAGCCAAATAGCAGTCTTGATAAATGCAATGATCCTTTTGGAAGCCATAACATAGAATTATATCAGAGTCACGACTTTCACAAGACCAATGTCACTGACAGCAGCGCGCGACGACTCCAATCCACTCCTCCACGAGACTGAAATCAGCACGAGTTAAATGTGTCTAAAGCACGTGAAATATCCCGAAACAAACACCCGCAGCACCTTCCGTGTCTTCAGTTCGGCTCTCACAGGATCAGACAGACTGATATTCGAGTCATAGTTCCAATGAAGAGTATTACGAGCTCAATGTGAAAATACAGCAGCACGCGACTCCAATCCTCCACTCCTCCAACAGACCAAGCGCCGTAATAATCACGTGATTGAATTTTGCATGGACTGACTCAACAAGCATGAATGTGTAAAATATCGCGGAAATATATAATAAACTATATAATCATAATAATAATATATTTATATTAGTAATAGAATAATAAAATATAAAATATAGCGATTTCAATTCTAACCACCACATAAACCACAAACCCCTCAGTACAAAACTCCGCCCCCATATATATATCAGCCAATCCCATGTAAGCATTTCGGAAAGTGCAAAATAATTGACAGGGGAAATGATTCCTATTGGTTGAGAAAGGGCGGGCCGGTCCGCCTACACTTGACCAGAGCCCGTCTCTTTCTTGGCATATTAGAGACATATGTGAATTTTTCTTTGATATTTGTATATTTTGAATATATATATATATATATATATATATATATATATATATATAGTCATGCGTGTCTATATATAGCATGATATATTATTATTATAGTCATGTTTTTGCATATTATTTTCTAATCAAATGCTTACCATCAAGGGCGAAGTGATTATATCTGTTAGTCAACAGTCCTCAAGCATGATGTTGTTGATCCAGCGATGTCCTCGTAACGTTAATGATCTCAAAAATCCTCTACTGGAAGTGCTTTCCCAAAGACTGCTGTTGATACACTACAGACTGAACGAAACTGAAACAAGATCTGTAATAAACTAAATAAATGTTCACGGCACATCAGACTATTGAGCACTAAAGCAACGCTATCCTGACAAAAAAGCTGAGGCATATATTTGACATCATCATTATGTTGTTTTTAGCTTGACGTTAAAGATAAATATGCGTTTTAATAATGAATTCCTTATCTAACAGCTCAGCTTGGTCGCCATTATCTTAGCTTCTAACGTTTGTTAAATGTTTTACGTCATGTACGTGCGACGGTTTTCATTTGACAACAGCATTTTCTTTCCGCGCGGGGGCGCTCAGTGGCATATAAAAGCTTTTACTGTCTATGATAAAAGCCAATCCTTCATGGACGCACATTCCGATTTTATTCACTGAAATGTTTTGTATATGAGATACAAACACAAATCCACTTAAAATACTTTAATATTAATAATATATCATTATTATTTTTAAATCCAGTCATTAAAACAACTGTGATGTGAACATCACATGAGAACATACATTGCCTACTCATCAGCGAAGTGAAAAGTCACAGGTCTCACGTGACTAGGGTAAACCCAACGCATTTTCTAGAAGTGTCCAAGAAAGTGAACTCAGTGTTTACCTAAAAAATGTCGGTAATATGAGAAGATTCAATTTTTGATAATAGAGTTAAAAATAATAATTTCTTATTTTCAGATGAACGTTCCTTGTGAAATGAGAAAAGAGCATGACAGAGAATGAGAAAAATGATGACAGAATTTTCATAGTTGGTGGGCATATTTGTACCAAATCATTATGGAATTTTCTCTTTTTTTTATTGTTTTCTTCCAAAATTCATGGCATGACTGATTCATAAACAAGACAAGAACAAGCAACACAAAACAGAAATAAAACTAACCAATAACCATGTGTCTGATTATTTTCAAACAGCAGCACCGATTACTTTAGGGGCATCAATAATGAAAACAACTCTTGTGAATGTCAAAGCAAGGACAGATACATTATTGAAATCCACGTCATCTATATGGAATAAACCCTTCAATAAATGACAATAAATAAATGAGTAAAATGCCATTGCATATGAATGACATATTGCATAGTGATGTCAAACTGCTGTCAACATTCATCGATCATTATTAAAAGATGCCTTTATGTAACAAAAAATGTGGAAAATATATATACACTGACTTGTTCACAATGTAAGGCACTGTGTCAAAATGTTCTTGTTGATTATTTTTCTAGCCCCGAGTCTTCTGAAATCAAAGCAAATTCAAGTTCAAGGATCCACAAATGAGACAGAGATGTATCTGACCCCCTCTAAGGTGGGCAGACCCTCGTGGTAGTGAGTGAGGCGTCCAGGGTGCATGAGTGCCCAGCCTTTCCTGGGAGCTGTCACAGAGCAGTTGTACCTCAAGAACCGACAGCCGCCACCCTGAACAGAAAGTCACTGATCGTTAATACAATGTGCTCTTGCTTTATCAACCTGCTTCAAAACAGCAGAAACAAAAGTTAGCTATTTCACTTTACAAACATGAGAAAAGGATAGAAACGAGACATATAAAAATCCTATAATAATTTACATTCCAAAAATTTAGAATGAAAGCCAATCCCATGCCAGAGACCTAACACAAGAGCAAGTTTCTGCATGTCTCCACATCTCAAGCTTTCAGGAGAGCTGCAGGTCAAGACATGCTAATGAGTTACAACATGAACATGTTACAGACCAACAGTTGGCATACCTTAAAGTCCCTGTAAAGTCAATTCTACAAAAAAGTTCTAAACACATTATAAATGTTACATATGTATTGCTAAAACATATTACAAAGTCTGTGAACTGTGAAGTACTGAAATGTAGAGTTAGACCGTTAAACAGTTTTTCACCATTGCAATTTTACGGATTAATTGGGCGGGGCTAAAACAGGGCTCCGTGACGCACTGGAACCCATGAGCGGCTGAACACCCCCCTATTTGATGACGCACTGAGTCTGATCTCTCCCTCTCGTCTCCACACACACTCCCCGAGCACATTCGCATTCACGGCTCAATCGTGAGTGACTGTCAGTACTATTAGTTACTAAAGCTGAGCCTACGGTTTTCTAGCTAGCTATGCCTTCGACACGGACATGCATGGGCTACTACCTGGATGCGATCATGTACAAAACAGATCGGTATCTTCATTTAAATTCCCTTAAAAACGATCACATCAAGAAGAGGTTTTTAGAGAGCTTATACCTTGATGAAGAGCCTCTGTACCTCTGTAGTGATCGTTTTACACTGGATCGTTTTATAAACTTTCCTCAGAGACAACTTGGATTAACTGATAATCCACTGTTACTGGTGAACGAGGCTGAAACGACGATCTCCCGCCACAGTTTTCATCCTCCCGTCTCCAGAAGCTAATCAGCTAATATCACCGTCGACAGCTTTCCCGTGAGTGGGCGTGGTTTCAGCGCAGCCAGCGGACATGCCCCCAGCGTTTGAGAGCAGAGAATCTGCTCATTTTTTCAAGATTTTGATAGCTTATTTTATGTACTTCCCGACTTTTTTTATCATTCAAATTTGGCTATGTGGCTAATAACACATTTTTCTGTGGTGTGACAAACTCAGAACACATACTTAATTTTGACTTTACAGGGACTTTAAATGCTGAAATCCCTACGTTTATAGTACTGTAGGTTTGATTCTGTATACAAAACTACACTGAAAAAAAATATACATTGGACCAAAATTAAAAATAAATGCTGTCATTTGCTACAGCCAACTTTATACGTTTTTCTCAAATTATATTTAAATTATTGGGAAAAATGTCAGAAATTTTTATTATAGAGAAAAAATATCCACAATACTTCTCTTTGTGGGGGCAATTTTTGGTCCCTATGAGGAAAACAGCTTATAACTCAGACTAAGTTATGTCTATGTTTTTTTAATGCAGAAAATGTTCTGTGATGGTTAGGGTTAGTGGTGTAGGGGATAGAATATACAGTTTGTACAGTATAAAAATCATTACGTCTATAGAGAGTCCCCACAAAGATATCAAAACTGAGTATGAGTGGGTGTGTTTGTGTTTTTCACATCACTGAATAAAAAGATCATATTAATAACCCATTCACTCACTCATTCACACACCGACGGCAGACTGTGGTGAACAAAAGCTCAAGATATTCACACGTTCTATTGTACAATATAAATCACATCAGTAATACCCTCTTGTGATTCTTTTAAGCTTTTACTTGTCTTGTAAAAGGTGGTTGCTAACAAGCTAATTGGTTGCTAAATTGGAGGTTGTCGTGGAAATTAAACGTCATCAGCCGAACAGGTAAACTCATGGTATGTTCATGTCATGTCAGAAAGATGATATTTAAAGGAGAACTCCGGCGAACAATGAACCTTTGGTCTAATAAAACATCGGTACGTATAGTCAACCGTTCTCTGAGATTTGTTTTCATGATAATCGAATGTAAAGAGTTTTATCTCTAAAAACCGTTTAGCGTATAATGCTAGTAATGGGGGCATTTACTAAGTAAAAAGAAATCCCAAGTTTATACCACTAACAAGGCTCAAAATAGCCCCACACTAACACAGTAACATAATGATGATCCCTACATGCAAAACGAAGCATTGAGAACTTTGAAAGTGTACAAACCGTTTAATAAGAAGATACTTTATAAAGACAGTTCACTTCGCGTATACAGACAGGAGCCATCTTAGAAAATAGTCTCGTTAAGTCAAACCACGAACGTCGTGCTGAGTGATCTGAACTGTATGAAGTTCAGCGAACTTCTGAACTGTATGAACGGTGTTCGGGGATCGACTTATCGAGACTATTTTCTAAGATGGCTCCTGTCTGTATATACGCAAAGTGAACTGTCTTTATAAAGTATCTTCTTATTAAACGGTCTGCACACTTACAAAGTTCTCAATGCTTCGTTTTGCATGTATGAAGCCTCATTATGTTACTGCGTTAGTGTGGGGCTATTTTGAGCCTTGTTAGTGTTATAAACTAGCGATTTCTTTTTACTTAGTAAATGCCCCCAGTACTAGCATTATACGCTAAACAGTTTTTAGAGGTAAAACTCTTTACATTCGATTATCATTAAACAAATCTCACGAGAACGATTGACTAGGTACCGATGTTTTATTAGACCAAAGGTTCATTGTTCGCCGGAGTTCTCCTTTAAGAGTATTTAAGTATTTAACCCTCTTGTGCTGTTCAGTATATTTTTTATATAGTAGTAGTTTTTTTACTTCATCGGAACGGTAAAGGTTTTGTCACCTGCTATGTGAACACAAAAAAAAATCATGGGCATGATTTGAATAGGTTCAATGGTCCACACAATATAGTCATACTTAGAGTTTGCAGTTA